GGATGGATGGATGGATGGATGGATGGATGGATGGATGGATGGATGGATGGATGGATGGGCAGCTTTTTTCCTCAGGTAAAATGGGCCAAGAAAGAGATTTAAGTGACTCTGAAAGTCCAAAATTGTAAAAAGTCTTTCAGAGGGATGCAGCACTTTTGAAATTGCTAAAACATTGGGCAGTGATCAAAGAACCATCAAACATTTTGCTGCAAATAGTCAACAGGGTCACAAAAACTTGTTGAGAAAAAAAAGATGTAAATTAACTGCCACAGATTTGAGAAGAATCAAACATGAATACCAGGAACCCATTATCTTCCAGTGCTGTCATTCCAGAACTGCAGCCTACCTGCAGTGCCCAGAAGTACAAGATGTTCAGAGACATGACCAGGGTAAGGAAGGCTGAAATCCGACCTCCAATGAACAAGACACAGCACTGAAACATTAAGACTGGGTCAAGACAGACCTGAACACAGATTTTTCAAAAGTTTTATGGACTGGTCAGATGAGAATGACTCCTGATTCAGAAGTATTGATGTTAACAACAAACAACTTCTGAGGGTCGGGCTGTATAAGGATGGGGGTCTCAGAGAAACATCTCTTTAATTTGAGGAAGGCCACTTCAGCCTCAGGAGTCCAGGAAAAGGGGATCTTGGTGGAGGTGAGAGCAGTCGGGGAAGAAGCCTCGATGAGAGCGTGAGACTGTGGTAAAAATGGGAAAATCCCTGAAATGTTTGCAGGTGTGATGAGTAGGCCAGATGGGGGGTTGCAGAGTCCAAAAGGCATGGCAAGATAAATGAATGTTTTAAAGGTAGTCTTCCAGTCATGGAAGCTATGTGGTGAAGGTGCTGTAGAGCCAGCTGTGGAGTTTGTCCAGAATAGGGGAGGAACAAGGAAGCCAGAACAAGATTGAGGAAATCCAGGTGCCTCATGCAAAAAGGAGTGCGCAGTTTTCACACTAAAACTATGGAAAAATTTAGAAAAGTGACGTGCACAAAAAAATCGGATGCATAAAGCCGTGCGCACGCACGTGGCCGCGCATCTTTCCTTTATAAATCCTAATTTGCGGGAAATAGAGCGCAGCTGCTGGTCCGCCCTGTCGCTACTCACAAATACATATGTAAATTAGTATAAATACCCGGAAGTCTACCATCACGTGAAGCAATAACCATGGCAACGTCCTGGTTTGAAGCAGTATACGAATTTATAATAATAATAATTATACATTTTATTTAAAAGGTGCTTTGAGGGCACATACTGTCACCTCACAAAAATATAAATACATTTTAAAGAAAAAAAAATTCAAATAAAAAAAATCAATAAAGAGATCGTACAAATGCCTGTCTGAACAGTAGCGCGTTCAGCCGGGATTTAAAGACAGACAGTGTGTCAGAGAGTCCTTTGAGTGGGTAAAATGGACGTTTATTCTAAATAGCAGAATCCTCCCAGCCAGCATGGGCCCCATGTGGGGGGAAAGAAGGGCTGATATATGGGTCCCATATGGGTTTATCCGCAGGTTCCACGATGGCCCCACGTGGGTATGACCATGTAGGGCCACAGCCCACATGGGCCCTATATGGGCCCTAAATGGACAAACCCATGTGGGCCACCACCATGTAGGGAACCCGCAGACAAACCCATATGGGACCCATATGGCCTGCCCTCCTTTTCCCCACATGTGGCCCAACCTAGGCATGCTGGCAGGGCTGTGCATGAGTTGTACATTTGCAGAATAAAGATGCTTTATGTCCAGAAGCCACATTCACAAAGCGGGCGGCTCGACTGAAGGATGACTGCAGCTGGACCGGTACAGGTACCGCACGGCTCCTTAAGTTTTGCTCAGACTGATCATCCTGGAGCTCTTAGCAAAACCTAAAGGAGTCCTGCGGTAACGCTCATAAACCATCAACATTTCCCAGCAAATCAATATAGCTGATCAATCGCTCCCTCTGAATGATGAAAGCACCTTTTAAATAAAATATAGAATTATTATAAATACTTATGTAACAGCTCTGTCTTTACCCGTCCGTCCTGTTATGCACACTCGGAGACCGGTTGGTTGGTTTTTAGATGATTTATTGCAATCTGTAATCTGTAATCAGTGGTTGATAAAACACATATGGCGCAGTGAGCCTCTCTACTGGTCAACCTATGGCTCACAACAGAGCGCTGAACCAACTGTGTAATTCACAAACAATTATAGTGAATTCCGACATTATATTTTCTAGGCCATTTGATCGTATAGTTTTAGAATACAAATAAAAATATGAATAATAAATACAACAACAGTCATTAAAAGCTCTCTGGGGATTAGTGGAAAAGAAACATGTCATGTTGCCATATAACCCAACAAACAGAATGGCAACCACAACTGACAAACTGATAAATATAACAAACTAACTGACAAACTGATACACATATCTGACAAAATAAATTACTGACATTTAATATAATATAATTACCTGTAATCAGTGGTTGATAAAACACATATGGCGCAGTGAGCCTCTCTACCGGTCAACCTATGGCTCTGTGCAATGCAACAAAGATTCCAGTCACCCTCCTGAACAAACCTCCAACACCATTTAGAAGAGAACCGGATTTGTTGACTTACCACAACAGAGCGCTGAACCAACTGTGTGGAATTTTTGGTTTCTCATCCAATTTATAGGTAACCAGTAGGGGGCGCCAAAAACCACCAATTACAGGATAACTGTGAAACATATTTTAGCAGGAATTTCATCTGTATATCTAATACCCGTTACACTTATACTCAAGAGTGAAAGTAAGGGGGTACGGCAGGGTACTGCGTACCCCTAAAAGATTTAGCGGGGGTACGCAGTACCAGCAAGAGCGTGGAGCGGCTGTCAGCTGTAAAAAAAAATCAGTGGGTTCACTGTGCTAATTAGTGAGTTCACCCACTAATCAGCCGTGACTGATTAGTTTTTCAAGAACAATCTAAAACACAATCTGTTAATAAATCGCTTTTTTCTCATTTAATATTGTTTCTGAACTGTTCGTGCTTTGCTAGAGGAGGTCTGCAACACGTCCATCGCGGAAGGTTTTGAGTCGATCTCGGCATTAGGTGACAAACTGAACGCCGCCAGGAGGCTGAGACCAGCACGTCCTCCTCCTCTGGCTCCTTATCAAAATATTTGTAACTTTATTAAAGAACAACAACAACAAAACAAAATCAACAAAACGTGTTCAAATTAATGACCCAACAACAATAATAATCTCAGTAATTATTGTTTCAACAAGGTGTTGCGCAATTCTGTGCGTTTCGGTTCTACTACCAAAATAACTAATCAACACCACTGTGTTCATGAGAGGCTTATTAATGATAGCAAAATAAATATCAAGCCTGCAAACCTAATATCGTAACGGACTGAATCTTATGTTTTTAACGTAATCTCTGGTTGGCTTGGGAAGCGCAGAAGGTTGCCATGGCAACGAGTGTGCTTAAACAAGAGAGAGAGAGAGAGAGAGAGAGAGAGAGAGAGAGTGAAAAGGTGCAAGTGGTTTAGAGTTGATCACCTGTTCGGGTTGTTTTACCTTTGTTTACCTTTGCTGTGGCTCATCACAGCTGCTGTAGTTTCTGAAGGTTCAATAAACGACAAAACTTGGACTAATTACCTTGTTCTTTGTGAGTATAGTCATTTACAACAAACATCAAACACGGTAAATATGTTTCATTAAGTATATAACAAACAAACGCTTCTACCACGAAAATTGTGTGAAATTAAATTAATTGTCTAATTAAAT